GGGAAGTCTACGTATGCAAACCCTAAACCCTAAACCCTAAACCCTAAACCCTAAATTGTTTAGCTGCTGACGTGCTGCAATTCACTTGGGAAAACTCGGGAGTCTGTGTGCCAGCGATAGCGTAGGGTTTAGGGTTTAGGGTTTAGCGTTTAGGGTTTAGGGTTTAGGGTTTAGGGTGATGCTGGCCTCAGACAGATTTGCTGGAATATGAGAAGCTTCACAAGGGTCTTGGACCCTGGCCTGCTGGTACGATCTGCTGCTGCTGCTGCTGCTGCTGCTTCTGCTGCTGCTGCTGCTGCTGCTGCTGCTGCTGCTGATCAAATGTGACTCCCACTACCAACTCAGGGCATAGAGTTGGGGGTTTAGGGTTTAGGGTTTAGGGTTTGTTTATTTGCAGCATCTGCGGGGCAGGAAGAAGGCCCCCCTTACCGCAAGACTGTCACAGTAAGAAACCCTAAACCCTAAACCCTAAACCCTTAACGCTAAACCCTAAATTATAAAGCCCTCAGCTCTTTAAAAGCGCAAGCCGCGGGCCCTCTGCAGCCAAAAGCCCTAATCCTTGATCTCTTAACCCTAAACCCTAAACCCTAAACCCTAAACCCTAAACCCTCTGCCTTGGCGGGCACTAGGCGTGGGCCATTTCAGCGGGAGCTGGTGCTACGATGCATCCGCCACTTTAGGGTTTAGGGTTTAGGGTTTAGGGTTTAGGGTTTAGGGTTTGCGGCTTGGTGCAGACAATTGCGGAAGCAATGATAGAAGAAGAGAAATGGGCGGAGCGCGAAGAGCAGCCGCGCGAGGGTATTATCCCTGCGAGGGTTTAGAGTTTAGGGTTTAGGGTTTAGGGTTTAGGGTTTGGGTTTGAGCAGGGCTCACTGCTTACACCAAAATTAGGGTTTAGGGTTTGGTGCTTTATGCAAGATAAATCTCAGGCCTGTGGGCAACAGCCACGAAAGAGGCTTTTTGGTGCATGCTACCAGGGCTTTGGGTTTAGCGTTTAGGGTTTAGGGTTTAGGGTTTAGGGTTTAGGGTTTAGGGTTTATGTTCAGAGTGGATCCTGGATAAGGATGAAGAAGAGCTTCTGGCGCCTCGTGTGCTTCGCGTTTATGAAAACATGAAAAAGCACTACAAGTAGGCATTAGGGTTTAGGGTTTAGGGTTTAGGGTTTAGGGTTTAGGGTTTAGGGTTTAGGGTTCAGGGTTTGGGTTGGGAGCGTCGGGCGTAGGTTCCGCGGCAGCGGCCACTAAACCCTAAACCCTAAACCCTTTTTTGTGCGGTTGCGGCCGCTAAATCCTAAACCCTAGACCCTAAACCCTTTTTTGTGCGGCTACAGCCGCTAATCCCTAAACCCTAAACCCTTTTTTGTGGTTTCTGCAGCCCAACTACCCGCGAGCAGTTTGAGCGGTTTGCAGGCGAGGGTTTTGTGTCTGCTGGAGAGCCGCTGCCTTTGCTGGAGTTGAACCAGGAACCCGTAGGCCTAAACCCTAAACCCTAAACCCTCGCTGGTGCATGCAGACTCGCCCTAGGGTTTAGGGTTTAGGGTTTAGGGTTTAGGGTTTAGGGTTTGCTGCTGCTGCGCAACAGACCCCCCCGTCTCCTAAAAGCAGCTTTTTCTTTCTTGACACTTCTTACGCTTTTGCAAACTCCCCTTCTCCTTGTGGGGCCGACATGGGCCAAGTAAACCCTAAACCCTAAACCCTAAACCCTAAACCCTAGTCTGAGCATAAGCTGTTCCCAACACACGCGTGAAGCTCTACTGAGCCATATCTAGGGTTTAGCGTTTAGGGTTTATAATGCCCAAAGGTCACACTAGGGCTTGGGGTTGGCAAAGAAGGCACGGAATAGGGCTAAGGCTTTAGGGTTTAGGGTTTAGGGTTTAGGGTTTAGGGTTTAGGGTTTGGCACATGGGCCTGCGTGCAGATCGATGACCCCCTTGACGCGTTCTGGCGGCGCCGCGCTGAAGAAGTAATTCGGTCTGTCCTTTTGCATGAGCTTTTAGGGTTTAGGGTTTAGGGTTTAGGGTTTAGGGTTTAGGGTTGAGGCTTGAGGGTCTAGGGTTTAGAGTTTGGCGTTTAGGGTTTAGGATTAAAGAGTGTCCGTTGTCTTCTTTTCCCCTGATGTCGAAGCGCGAGCCTGCTTCTTCCCGCGGAGCAGTGGTCAGCTTAGGGTTTAGGGTTTAGGGTTTAGGGTTTAGGGTTTAGGGTTTAGGGTTTAGGGTTTGCGGTTTAGGGTTTAGGGTTTAGGGTTTAGGGTTTAGGGTTTAGGGTTTAGGGTTTAGGGTTTAGGGTTTTGTTTTAGGGTTTAGGGTTTAGGGTTTAGGGTTTAGGGTTTAGGGTTTAGGGTTTAGGGTTTAGGGTTTAGGGCAGTGGTCAGCTTAGGGTTTAGGGTTTAGGGTTTAGGGTTTAGGGTTTAGGGTTTAGGGTTTAGGGTTTGGGGTTTGGGGTTTGTGTGCAGGGCTCCGGCTGCAAGACCTGGCCGATCTGGAGTCTCTTCCCCTGGTTGACGCTCTTGATATTCAAGTTGCTGCTGTTCCTGCTGCTCCCCTGCAGCAGCAGCAGCAGCAGCAGCAGCAGCAGCAGCAGCAGCAGCAATGGCAGCGGCTTGAGTTGCTGGGTCGTCGCGAGCTTACCTTGGCAGCAGGCTCGCGGGTGTATCTCCACTTGGAAAGTGCTGAAGCAGCAGCAGCAGTGCAGCAGCTGCCAGCAGCAGCAGCAGCAGCAGCTCTGGGGGCCTGCGCGCGCATGCACGCAGCAGCAGCAGCAGCAGAGGGAGCCTCGCCCGGCAGCAACCTTCTACACGTGCTGCTGCAGCAGCAGCAGCAGCAGCAGCAGCTCCCCTTGCCCCCCATTGAAGAGGAAGACGCCAGAGATTACATTCGCCCAATGGGGTCTTGCGAGATTACTGCAGCAGCAGCAGCAGCAGCAGCAGCAGATGCTGCTGCTGCTGCGCCCTCCTACGCTCTTGCTGCTGCAGCAAATCGGCTGCCCCCCGAGGCATGCGCTCCTTCTCTTGCCTTCCTCAAGCAAGCTGTTGCTGGAAGCAGGGATCCTCAGCAGCAGCAGCAGCAGCAGCAGCAGCAGCAGCAGCAGGAGCAGCAGCAGCAGGAGGAGCAGCAGCAGCAAGAAGCGGTGCTGCTGGGGTCTCCAAATGCTTGCTGCCTCTTCTTTGCTCGCGGCGGAGATGTTTATATGACTTCTCTTGACAGCATTGACAGGGTGTGTTTGCTGCTGCTGCTGCTGTTTGTTGCTGCTGCTGCTGTTTGCTGCTGCGGCTGCCGTTTGCTGCTGCTGCTAATGTTTGCTGCTGCTGCTAATGTTTGCTGCTGCTGCTAATGTTTGCTACTGTTGCTGCTATTGTTTGCTGCTGTTGCTAATGTTCGCTGGTGCTGCTAACGTTTGCTGCTGCTGCTGTTACTTGCTGCTGCTGCTAATGTTTGCTACTGCTGCTGCTGCTTGCTGCTGCTGTGTGCTGCTGCTGTTTGCTGCTGCTGTTTGCTGCTGCTGTGTGCTGCTGCTGTTTGCTGCTGCTGTTTGCTGCTGCCGTGTGCTGCTGCTGTTTGTGCTGCTGTTTTCCTCGTTTTGTCCCTTTTTTCATTCTTTTGACTTCTTTTGTTTCT